TGGGGGTGAAGAGGGAACAAGGTCTGTGGGCTCAAAGGAGTATGAAAATACAGGCGGTGCCGGCTGCGCTGCCGCGAGTGCGACCGCAACTGGAAAATATCTGGAAACACTACGTACGCTTGCCTGGGTTGGGTTGTGCCAGGGGTTGCGTTTGGAGATGTGCCTGGTGGTGCGTTCCTTATGTGATGCTGCTCTTCCCGAGCCGTTTTCCCAAGGGATCATTTCCACCCACGCCCACCGGTTACTTTGCCGCCGGCCTTTTCCGAGGGGGTTCCGCGCATCTCTCGGCTGGGGGAGCACCCAGAGCAAATCCAGTAAAACAAACAATCACGGAGGCGGCTGATTACTTCTGTACGACACCGGACGGGGAATTGTAATGCCTGGTTACAAATTACTAATGTATTTTGCTGCGGGACACTAATAAAGTTGCTTTTACCAGCTGGTGTATTGTGGTGCTGTGAATGGAGCGGGCTCCCAGCCTGGCCCCGCTCCCCCTCCCCGGCATTCAGATGCAAATCGGCTTTGTGCTCATTTCTCATAATTGCTCTGCATCCCGCCTTGGGCTTCCAAAGGCACCCAGCAAATAATGTTTGCTCAGGCTGCAATTTAGACTATACGTTATTTGTGATAACTATAGCTACAAGGTATAATTTTGCCGTCTTACTTAAATTTTATGAATTTCAGTGTGTTTTACATGTACCAATAAAGTCCAGTATTTGAGAAGAAGCGCTTGCGCAGGTCAGAGCCGCGTTTGCGGTTTCTGTAAAGCATCCATTAAAATGGAAAGCAGCCTGTTCTGTACTTAATGTTTTAAACTGCATCTAAATTTTAGAGCCGAGCCTTGGCACTGTTATGTTATAATTTTATTTATCTTGATCAGCTTATAATTTACTATATCAAGGTTATTGCTGTCATGTTACCAAAAATGCTGATCAGAACTAAGCTAAATAGTTCTTGGGGTATTTTTGCCAAATTTATTATGTTTTCAAGCATTTTACCCTCTTGAGTACAGACAATAAACAGCGGCACTACGGACTCGTTTTCGTACGCCTTTAACATCTAAACGGGCATCTCCTCGGGGGGGGAGCTACTGGGCTCCTTCCGCTGACACTCAGGGGTTAATGACGTCGATCTTGGTTTCTGTATCGTTATGAACTGCTTTTATACAATATGATTTTTATTTTTTCCCCTCTCCTGGTATTACTATGATTGTCTTAAAGGCCACGTTCCCTGGGCTGGTCAGTGGCTCTCGTCAAACTGTGTACATTACTCCCCCCCGCCCCCAGTGCAATCTAGTAACGAGCTTTAAAAACCAACCCATATATTAAGACCTACAGACAAATTCCTGTCTTTAGCTTTTCAATAACTCTTAGTTTATTTTATGCCATGAACTTTGAGCGTCAGGTCGGCAACAAATGAAGGTGCGGTTCCACCCGATGAAAGCTGGTTTGAGATCCCAGCTGGGAAGCGGCGGAAGCTGGAGAGGCAGCGCGGGGGGACGGGGGGCCCGAAAGCCCCGACTCGCCCATCTCTGTGGGGTTTTTTATCCAAGAATTGCTCCTCCTCCGAGAATTGCATTTGGGTTTGTAGAGAAGAGGCGCGTCAAGGTAAATTGTTAACGGCTGTAAGTTATTTAATTGCTCTGTTTAGGAATGGGGCTGGGGGGAAGCAACCCCCCGTCTCCCCAAAGCAGAGGGAGGATTTGCTGTCATAGTGAATCCGGTTTTCACTCTGTGTGCTGCAGTATAAATGGCTGGGTAGGTGGTTATCGACACTTGCGCTTCCGCCGCTCGCTTTGTCGCCAGGTCCTACGGACGTTGGCTTAGCAAAGCTCTGCTCTCACACCAGGGTGAATTCCTGCGTTGTCTCTTTGGAAATGGGCTCCGTCAGTCAAGCGGGTGAAGGGGTTAAAGGGAGAGCGTGGCCTGCGGCAGGGACCGACGGTGCTTTTTAAGTGTGTGCGTGTGAGTTGTACGAGTAGACAGGCCTGGAGGAGGGCTGGGAAGCAGCGGTTTGTTACCTCGGAGCGAACCCCGAACCCCCCCGGTAGCTCAGAAGGAGCCGGACGAGGGAGCAGCACCAGCTCCTGCTCGTGTTCCCCCGAGCGAAGCAGCAATGGGGCCTCCGGCTTCTTCAGCGCCGGACCCTGACCCTGCCAGCGGGGCTGGCTCAGTACTTGAAAAACAAAATAGGAAATAACGCTGATCCCACTGTGTCAGATAATTCCAGTCTTAATCAAAACCTCCCGTGCAAAACCGGCAGCGGCACTTCAGGGCAGCGGAGCTGCGCTGCACAGCGAGGGGGGTCCGGACGCCAGTGAAGCCATAACTTTATTAGAGAGCCAATTGAAAAGAATTACAGTAATTACTGCTTGATGTAATTAAGTGCTGGGGAAGGGCTCGTGCAGTCGGTCTCTGCTGCGGCTGCTGGAGGGGAACGCTCTCCTCTACCGGGAGGGAACGAGCGCAACCGTGTCGGGTTGTGAAAGCTGCGTGGGTACGAGGTGGGAAAGCT